CAGTCAGTATAATTACGCATACAGATAGTGCAATCCACGAAGATGTGCCTCACCAATTTTTGGTTGAAGGATAATTGTTAGTGATAAAAGGATAATTATCATATTATTATATTATTATTATCATAGATATTTAGTGTGTACCGATAACACTCAAATATTGGCGGAAGCTGGCACACATTTACTATAAACGGTTAGGAGGAATAGTGGGGCGCGTCTTCGTGGATTGTAATATCTGTAAGGTTTTGACCATATACTACTTTTTTTTACAGTCCGGAGGTTTGGGGCCAGCTGTATTTGAATTTCAACTCATGTCAATGAAAACTGCCTAAAATAGTGTTAAAATTACTAAATTAAAAATCACGCCAAAAGCTCACTGTAGGTATGTCATTCAGTATTTTAATGCTCCTGAAAAAATTTATTTAATTGCAATTATACCGTTTTTTTCGGCAGCTATATATGATTTATTGATTATATAATTGAGATTTGTAAAGATAGCGTTTTTTTATTTTTTTTTCAGACTGAGTAATTTATTTTTATCCTTAAGATTGGAGAGAAAGATGTAATGGTTGGCTTTGAGTTGTTGTTCTGAAACATTAGGGATATATAAATCTATCAATTACAATAGGTAAAGAAAAACTTTTGTGTTGCTAACGGACCATTACTAAATTGTTCTGAAACCAGTTGGTAGGTAACCAAATTTTAAATTTTCCTTAACTTTTAAATTCTGCATTGCTACGACTTATTGCCAGCGACTGCTGCCAGCGCATCGCCTGCATTAAAGAACTGATTTTCCACACAAACTTTGAACCCTTTTTTCGAGTTTTACATTCACGACAAAAACTAACTTATTTTCTTCGTCGGGGTCCACTTTAGCTCAATACAAAAATTCATCAAAATCGGAAAAACTGTGTAAGCATTAACGCGTTAGAGACGGACTTTTCTCATCTACGATTTAAGTTGGTAGGTAAGATTTGACATATTACAGTAAACCGATAGATTTTTGATGCGTGACATCTTTCCTCTCGCTTTCCTGCAATTTGCGGGAGTGATTTCGTGAATTGGGACGGAAGTGTGTAACAGGAAGTCGCGAATGGCTCGATGAACGAATCCTTTTGTAGTAGGTTTTATTTCTTTTTTTACTAATATAAGGTGAGGTTCCAAATGTTACATATCATACGCGACTACTGTGAGGCTCGCTCGTTTTTTTTATAATGCCATTTGCTCCTGCTTTTGCTTTAATGGAATAGGCGAGCGTGCCTCGATCGCGGCCTCCGTTCGTCCGATGGTGGTTATCCGTGCTTGGGATTGCAATCACGTTGTGACGCGCAGATTCGCGACTACTGCGAATAAAGGAAGGAAGCGATTACCGAGGTCATTGACCCGCACCGTTACCTGCGTGTTCGGCGACAACTGGACTCGGCAGACATCGATTATATCTGATTCGATAACATTAATATTCATGCCGATTATACGTGTTACGCGTGAGAATTTTTAGTATCAACAATGCGCGGTGCTAATTAATAGGGTATGTATGAACGAGCCACGTAAGTTTCTGTCGTTTGGCTGCTTGTGGTGCATTTTGTAAGATTATTCAATCAGGTTAATAAATTGTCATAATGAAATTGGATTTTCGGTTCGTTAATGAACATGAAGTTTTCGAAGAATTAAAAAAGAAGTGTGAACCGTTTCTCATAAAAAAGCTTTAGATTTCTAACCCGTTCCCCATATTTAATATATATATATATATATATATATATATATATCGAATTGATTTTGAGTTTGAGACACAGTTTGACTTTGATAAAAGTATTTTAGTTGTTATACATAGAGAAAAGTTTACTAGAAAAAAATCCACGCGGACCAGGCAGCGGACGGGACTCGAACCCGCATCCTTCGCTATCCGGGCGAATGCACTGAGCTTTAGGCTCTTTCCTTTCCTAGCTTAAGGCTAGGAAAATTTCGACGCGGCTAATAGGGCCGTGGTAGCATAATGGTCAGTGCATTCGCCCGGATAGCGAAGGATGCGGGTTCGAGTCCCGTCCGCTGCCTGGTCCGCGTGGATTTTTTTTTCTAGTAAACTTTTCTTTAGATTTAAACATCTAGCAGTTAAATGCTTAAAAAATAAATAAAATCATAACTATAACTGCTATATCTTCTTTCAAATGTTTAATACTTGAAAAAGTATTCATTTGACATTGTGGGTTACCTACAATGCGAAGAGATGGCGCTGCCTTGCAGCTTAAGGCTAGGAAAATTTCGACGCGGCTAATAGGGCCGTGGTAGCATAATGTTCAGTGCATTCGCCCGGATAGCGAAGGATGCTTGAATATTTCCAACACTCACACCAACTAGCCTAGCCCCAAAGTAAGCACTATAAGGCTTGTGTTATGAGATACTGAGGTAACGGACAGAATACACATACAGTACATATATTAGTTTATTTATATAGAAATACATACATATTAAACATCCATGACTGGAGTACAAATGCTCGTATTCATCACACACCGGGATTCGATCCCGGGACTTCTCGAGTCGGCGGCACCATGAAACCCGGCGTACAAACCACTCGATCACGGAGGTCGTCAAAGCATAAAAGTCGTCAAAAATTATGTTTTTTAAAGCGCGAAATTTGAAATGTATTTTTGAATCGGTCATAAAAATAACACCGATGCCGATGTATCGGCAAATCCGAAGAATCCCCGATAAATCGGTATCGGTATCGGATGCATCACTAATTATACAAACAAACAAGTAAATAAATATTCCAAAAAAGCTATTTGTAGAGAATGAATCGTCTCATTTAATTAGGACTTTATTTGCAGAATTCTGTACGTGGTTTGATTTTTACGACATCATTCCACTTTGTCTGTCATTAAATTTGCATACAAATTATGTGCATATACATATTAATAATTTTTTGTTCAGTCTGGGCTTAATTAAGTAAGTACCTATATGGAAATTACCTTATTATTTATTATAATTAATTAAATAAATAGATTTTTCGGTGTTTATTACGTAAGAGTAAAAATCGGATTACTCTGTAAAAAGTTATGTGTGGAAAAACATAATGAATATACGCGTAGACTTGTTATCTTCTGTCGGTTAAAAAGTGATAGATACTTATATTGAAAATTGTTCAGTAGAGGTTTTTTAGCAAAATTTGATATGTGACAACATTGCAAGCAAAGCTGTATGCGCGTCACGCGGCGGAAGCGGCCGAGGTGCGCCCGCGCCGCCCGCCGGATCCAACATGGCCGCGGCGAAAGTGCTTCCGGCCGAGCTTGAGAGTTCTCAATGAACTGCAGCTTATTAATACAAGTGCTTTTTTAATTCATGACCAGCGTATGCTGTTATCTCGGACCTGTATTTCTTTATTTGTTTTCTTAAAGGCTATGGGTTTATTACTTTTAAAATGTTACTGGTAAATTCAGAAAAAATAATTAACCTTTGCAGAAAAAATAAGTAAAATTTATGTTTGGTGTTAGTGCCAACCCAAGCAGTAATAGGCAACTCAGATTCATTAGAATTGCATACATGGCACTTTTTGTTGTGGTTTTCTTTTATGAAGTCGGATTTTATTTTGTCTTTTTTTATTGTTAACTTTTTATAAACCAAGCATCATCAGATAACTAAAGTAAGTACTTGGCCACCATTATCTCTTTCATATTTCATAAAATATACTTATAATAATCCAAACAAAATAAGTGTACCATTTCTAATTGTGGAGTTCTATTGTTTAGTTCCGAAAGTATGCATAAATCGTCACCAAATTTAAGAAAGGATTAATTATCTCTCCAAAAAACTGATTCAAATTAAATAATAATCATCATAATCGGCCCACAAATTTAGGAGATAAGCGTTATCAACTACAACTAAAAAGAAAAAGTAAAGACGAATTGCGAACCTTCTTCTAACTACAGAGGAAAGAAAAATACAGGCTTTGATTTTATAGATTTATAAGGGTGATTTTCTCAGGCAGTAGTTTAGCGTGGCGAGATTGAAAACAGTAGTATAGAATTACAAATACCTACACAAGTTTTTTTTTAGTAAAAGGCTTTGATATTTTCATAAGACAATATATATTTACAGCATAAACCACATTATACATGAGGAAAAAAATATATTTCCTTCCATTTTCTAAGTCTGGTGGAGCGTCCAGAAAAGGTTTGTTAACTATGTTTAAAAATATTTCCCTCTTAATTTCTGTTAATTTGTATAATATCTAAGGCTGTAAATTGTTTATGTTCATTAATATATTTTATTTTGCAAATTTAAGTAGATAATTTTTTCAATTTTTCATTTTGGCGGAACGTTAAAATTTTCACCTAAATTAGCAAATTTTATAGTTGTTGAAATCCACTCATAAAAAAGTTACAATTAATAAGACAAGGAGGAAATATAAAAAACTCAGTACGTGGCATTGGTTTTGGATGATTAGTAAAGATTAAAATATAGACAAAACTTTAGTTTCAAATAAGTTTAAATTCTTGTTTCATTAACGTTATATAAAAAGCTGCTCTATTTTGTTACAACAATCTATTTTATTATTTCTGATTAATTGACAGTGTAATTAGTTAATATAAAGTTATCATAAGAGACGACGTAATTCAAAATATCTTAATTAGAACTTTATTTATCCATCTGTTACATGCGCGAGATTTTAATTGAACAGCAATAATTAACAGGCAAACAAACCACATAAAACGTACGTAAATACCTAAATTCAGGCCTTATTAAAATAGATTGGCTTACCTTTAGTTAACTAAATTATAACATTGATATTTCCTCACGCGGAATAATTATAAATAAGTGTTAAAGTAGGTGTAGAACTACATAATTTATAAAAGATGAAAAACGAACTCATATTGCAGCTAATAAATTAGCACAAGATTAATATTTTTTTATTGCAATACGCTGTAAGTATTGTTTCAAAGATTCTATAGTTTATACTTTTTCAATGAAAGTTATTGTATTTAAAATACGATGGTAAAACTAACCTGTGGGCAATATATACGAGGTATCACACAAGTTCTCGAGCGTCGTGTCGAACGCCAGCCGATTTTGGTCATACTGCAGTTTACCGGTGTTCGTCACTGTTTGTTCGAAGTTAAGTCTAGCCACACTCGCGAGCGTCTGTTCGTAGTTGAGCCTAGAGTCCCTTTGCTCGGCAGCATTGTCCGCGTAAGGTTTGTTCACTTTGGCACTGTAGTCCGTGAAGTTGAGCTTGGTGATGGTGGACATCGGGAGGTCCAAGGGCGCCGCGCACGGCGGCACGGCGGCTTCACGCGGCGCCTCTACCAGCAGCATGGCGACCCAGCGCCGACCCGCCGGTCTACCGCACTCAACACCTCATTACTCTCTAAAGATTTCTTTTTAACTTCCCGAACAATAAAATAATAATTTAAAAATAAAAAAATCAAAGTTATATTTATTAATGAAAACCCGAAAATAATATTCACGAAATGGTACAAGTCTTTTTTTAGGTGCGAACGTCGACAAAGTACGCACGGAGCGCTCGTAGCACCAATACAGCTAGCGCCTTAACACAGACTGAGCTTTCGGGCGGGCCGAGAGGGCGGCCGTGGAAAATATGAGCCGAGCGGAGCCGACTGTAGCCGACCGGATCCGACGCGCTACGGGCTCGCGACCTGCCGCGCCACCTGCCGCGGCCAACTGTTGCGCGACCGTTGATTTTTTTTGCTAACCCCCGTGATGATGGTATCATGAAAATTAGCACAGGTATTCCTGAATGAACATACATGTACCATGCCGAACATATGTTAGGGAGTAAGCAACCATCAATAATTTGCTAATCATAAATTTGGTTTTTAGAAAAATTGTATGGCATCGTTTCGTCGCCATAAATGGAAGTTAAAATATTAAAACATTTTTGTACATACAAGTAGTTATTATGAAATGACGGTATTGTATTAGCCTTATATGCGTATTAATTAGTTCCGTTTATTATCTTTTCCCCGTTTCATATCGCAAACGAAAATCACCTAATATTTCAAAGGATTTAGGTACAAAATATAAATAAAATCGACTGACTTTCGGGAAAACACAACCTCTTTGTTGTTAGTGAAAGAAGTTGAACGAATTTCAAGACAATTGCAATGGTAACTAAAAAAACATGGTTTTTCTTTTAAGTTTTACATTTTGTCATTTCAAGTATTTGGTAGTTAAACTTTACCTGCTACAATTATATAGGTACTTTTTATGATACATAATATTGGTTATAGGAATTTTGTCGGATTATAAATTAATATTAAGTAATGTGTTTTTTCTTCATGTAAGTACTTTCTGCGTATCATTATCGTGATTCGATTCAAAAGCTAAACTTTAAAAAATAATTTGCAAGTTACAGTGGCTTATCTATTACATGATTATTGTTACATTGGCTATACAAAAACTTAATGAGCACAAACTGTTGAGTAAACGTGATGTGTCAATCTAGTGTAATTTATTTCGGCAGTACAGTAATTTTTAAGGTTATAAAAGTAGTTGAATGAAATTTTCAATTGTGGGATGAGTTTTCAGCTTTTTTACTGGACATAATGATGAAGAAGAGGAGACGAATTTGGTACGGACGGTAACCTTAACTTAAAACTAGCGTAGCTGATATCAAATCTTGCGGCGGCCAGGTTAATGTTGAGATGGGGAGTAGCACACTACATCGCATTGTACGTTTTAATGATACAAAATAGAAATAAAGAAAATGTCAATTAATGTAACCTCACAAGCCACGGGTGTTCATAAAAAAGGTGTTATTCCTTGAAAAGCTGGGGTAAGATTGTTGATTTTCCACTGGGCAATTCAACCCTACTGGGCAGCTGTGGAGCTGGCTAGACTGATGACATCACCAAAATAGTGATCAACACTAGGATGTGCGTAGAAAGGATATCGAGGAGAAGGAAGAAGGAGGGCGAAAAGCCTTCACCTGACAAGGGGTTAAACCCGGGCTTATGTACAAGACAAAGAGATTTGTTATATAAATCTTTCCATTTTCGCTACTTATTCCTAAATAACTTAGTTCAATAATATACTTCCTAATTACATTTATCCATGGAATTATTCCACCAGCTCACCATAGGCACACAAACGAGGTAGAACATGGCAATTACAATAATAATAATGACGCATGCGCGGCCTTGACGTTGATTCCTATTGTTTGATAGTGACCGCGAGACTAGGAAATAACTTGAATTTAAAATTAGAATAGGTAGCCCGATGCTTGGAAACGATAAAATAACAATTTGTTAGACAAGTGACGATCGATTATATTGTTATTTAGAATATAGACATTTATTAAAGATTTACATAAACGCTCAAATAAGGTTAAAATAAAATATGTTACAAGCTGATGTATTCGTAAAGATATTTATATTAATTGTGCTTTACTTACATTACATTGCACCATAGATAAATTCACAGCTGGTTTATTCAAAGGCACAGAATTACACATCGTCATTTCCATGAAAAGCGAACTGGTAACAAATGACGATTGTACAACATGCCGTCCGAGTGTAATTCTCAAGTGGCAGGATGTTGACAAAGGAGCAAATCATTATTGAGACAGATGCATTGAGATATCGTTTTCTATCTGGAGCCAGATAAGATTCGGTGGGAGGGCACGAGCTGGAGGGCGTAGTTTTGCCAAAACCGGGTCAAGTTACCACGGGGTGGGTCAGGGAAGGTGGAGGGGGCCGGGATGGGATAATAGGTACCTGAGCACGTGTGCTACCGGATGCGGAGGGCCATTGTCTACCGGAGGAAGCGATTTCGACGCGTCGGAAGATGTGACGCCGATTTTTTTAGGTACGATCGAGACGAGTAATGTTTTTTTTCGTGCCGATATGAATATGATATTAGATGTCGGTTATAAAATATAAATTTTAGTACGTATCTATTCTGAAGGTAAGACTGAGTGAATGCATGAATAATGCCTCTTTGGACTATAATTAAAACGTCTTTTACAGAAAAAGAATATGATTCATTCTTTAATAAAATACTATTTTTTAAATGCGATACCAGTGTTGCCAGGTCCGATTTTCAAAAATCGGGAGGCGTTATAGAAAAAAACAGTAGATGTATGCAAAGAGCTACAAGAAAAACAGTAGATGCATGACGTGGCGTACTTGTCCGATTTGCACCCCCCCCCCCCCCCCCCCTAGAATTGGAGTTAAAATTATTTGACAATTACATTTATTTTATAATTATTAAGGTTAGCTACATTATTAATGACGGAAAATGCAACTCAACATGAAATTTAAAAAAAACAGGAGATTCATGTAGAAAAACAGTAGAACAGGAGAAAGGAGATCTCCTGTAAAATCTGGAGACCTGGCAACACTGTGCGATACCATTTGTCGCTAGACGAAATACGTAACAACAATTTTGTTATTCAGGCGAAGTAATAAGATTCGAGTTAGCTATACCTATATCGTAGTAGCCGATACTGTGGCATAAAATGTTTCCATTGGAACGCAATTAGCGATCCAGTGTGTGGCTGCGCGGGAAATCGAACGGGAAATGGGTTTTCCATATTTGAATAAATGCACCGAGGAAATAAACACACCGGGATATTGTCGGCTGACAATCTCCCGTTATAGATGAAGGTTTAATTCTCTGAATAGTTCATTGCAGTTCACTGAAAAGTTATTGAAAAACATATTTTGTAAAGCCAAAGATTTTAAAAATCCCTTTTCTCCAAAATTGTTGCAACAACGAAGTTATATTGTTTTAAACTTTCATGGTCACTAATACTATAGTAATTTATGGTATTTACGGGATTGGGATGTTACATAACTAACATGGTAGCAATCTTGTAAATAACATATGTAAATTACTATATTAACAAAGTTAAAGTTGTATAAAAATACAAGTTTGTCATTGCAAACATTTTTGAGATTATCATTTATCTAGTTTAGATGACTGTGAGCATACTGTCCAAAATTTGTGGTCATAATGGTAATCTATCTTGATTTAAACTCTCATTCGGTTTACATTTCCTTAATAAAAAAAAAACTTCTTTAAATAGTTCGTATTCAAGACTTCGATTTCGTCTGAACGAAAAGGAAATCGCGTGGCAATACTAAGAATCGATCAGCAATAACTCCACAGAATTTAAACACTAGGCCGCACCTAGCCCACCGGTCGGCGCCTAAAAGGCTACATTGTGTATGGCATCAGCGTAATGTCGATCGCAAAAAAGCATCGCGATCATGAAATAAGCCGCAGCAATCGATATTCACGCGGTAAGCCCGACTCCAACAGACTCCGTTTAAAAATACAATTTACCGAGGAATTCCCTGCTTTGAATTGCATTAAGTGTAAACAATAAAGCGTTAGCGAGCGTATCGGCCGCGGCAGGCGACGGAAGTGCCAGATAAACAATCTTTTTTAGATAAAAACACTGAAAACAGTCCATAAATCTGTTCAACGACTCGGGGCACCTCATCCAGAACTGTCAAAGCGGCGTATAAATAACTTAGTTTGTAATTATACAGGACATGACTGAAGGAGAAGAAAGCGTTTTTTTGTTGCACTCCTAACCTTTGCACTAATTAAATGACTGCGCATCCGGTTCTGTCGATTATGCGGGAGTGATTGAAAGTTGATTTGAATTTCAATGTCTCACGAATTCCTCCAGTGTAATTTTTATTTCCTGCAGCGATATAGGAATTAATACGACATTATCGTAATTTACTCTTTTTTCGTCGCATTTAGAAATGACATTTGTTTTTTCGACGCAGTGCTGGTGTAGTTCTCGCGGTTCGTAGTGGGCTGCGTAAAATTGGAGCGCGCTCGGGACGTCACTTCCGGTGCCAATAATTTATTTGCCCCGGCCTCCGCTCGTGATGAGACGCGGCGCACTATACGACATTTGTCCACACGTTTATATTTGGAACGATTTCTGGTAACGTTATGATTTGAGTTTTGATATGAATTATTATTTTTCTACGCCCGTTGCTGACCTAACCCGTGACTTGTAGCGTTTGTAATTTTTTTATTACAGAAATATTTCACTAATAATAAAATTGTTCTTTATTTTTTAATCGGTTGGTCTCATGAGGGACATTAAAGTGAAAGCTTCCTAATATTTTTATCTACTCATAATTTCTGAAGGGCAGTTTCATAAAATGTTATTTTAGTTGATGTGTCTTCCTCTCTTTAACGACTTATCTACATCCTTTACAATTTTATTGTTTCTGTTTTGTTTTTGAATGTCATCCAAATAGTGATAGAATGGTACGAAACCCTTGTCAAAAGTTCAATGCTATATTGTGGAGAAAATAAATACATTCTCTGCAACTATTATTTAAATAAAAAAGAGTATTTTATCTAAATTTTATCATGAGATAACAAATGATATAACAATAACTATAAAATCAGAGCAAATTGTTGTGTTTTCGTCAAAATTTGTATGATTTATTACTCTTCTGCCTGTCGTAAGTACTAATGATCTCATAGTTTATTCTGGGAGAATGTTACCTAATGTAATCTCAATGTCATGGTTCATTCTGGGAGCATATTATAATCATCATTTCACTGCTGGGGCACAGGCCTTCCCTATGCATGAAATATGGAGATGGGGCCATTACTCATCACACGGGCCCAGTAAGGACTGGTGGGTGCTAACGACTGCAGATGCAGCCGGGAGCAACGGTTTAGCGTGCTCTCCGAAACACGGAGGAGCTCGAGATCGAGAGCACTAAGAAAGTTGCTTAACTTCAACGATCACAGCCGAACGCGTTAACCACTTGTACCATTTAGCCTCCTCATGCCATTAAATAGTATACTGGCGGCCGTCCATGCGGCTGCCTTCGTCCGCAATAACTTTAGATTTTTGAGAATCCCTCAGGAACCTAACTTTTTTTTGGGATACAAAGTACCCTACGTCTCAATCCACGTCATAAAGTGTATGAGTACCAAATTTCACCCTAATCTGTTCAGTAGCTTTTGCGTGATTCAGTAACAACCATACAAACATACAAACTTTCACAACAAATTCACTTTGGCATTTATAATATGAACTTAGGATTATTTCATGTATAGTATTTGTAATCTCAGGGGCAGTGTGCGAAGGACGATTGGTACGCCCACGACGTCCGCCCCCGCCCCCGCTGCCGCTTGATAACGTATCGGGGGCGACACTCGCTCCCGTTATCGACATGCTAAAAATTCTACAACAAAGTTTTAAATCTAAATAAAAGTTTACTAGAAAAAAATGTGGGTTACCTACAATGCGAAGAGATGGCGCTGCCTTGCAGCCTAAGGCTAGAGAAAATTCTACAACAATGAATGACCCTGTTCATTCATTGTTGAATTAACCTGTTCTAAGGACACTCATCAACATCTACACCATTTTTTTATATTTTCAAAAAAAAGGTAACGTTCGATTTTAAGTCATTACGGAATTTTCTTTTGCTCGCATATTATTGCGATTGCGACAGTTGCAATAATTTTACGCAACAATAGTTTTGGTTTAAATATTTTTGAAGTTATACTACTTTAGGCGCGTTATGAAAAAATGATGAGAGTGAAATTTTTAGATGCGCGCGCATCACTGTAACCCAAAACTAACAGCATGAAGTTGGCCGCGTGCGCGTTATGAAAAAATCATGTGAGTGAAATTTCGAGATGCGCGCGCATCACTGTAATACAATAGTAACACCATGATGTTGGCCGCGCGCGCGTTATGAATGTTAGTGTCTAATAATGGTGGATTATTATGAAATCTGTTCGTAAGGTACTTTGAACGATCCACGGAGTTCCATAAGATGATCGCGTTGTCAAAAACAATGTTGGCACGCTCGTCGCCTCTGATCACTGTTTTTATATTTATAATATTTATCCACATGTTTCTAGTTTCTATATAGACACAACGTGTTTTAGTTACTTACAAGTGCTAATTACATATGGACTAATAACTTAAATTCAGTAGTGATTTTAATTGAATATTTTGAATATTTATTTAATTTATAAATTAAAACTGAACTTAATTGACTGTGTTAACTATCCTTTTCCAGTCCTTTTATTATTTTACTAGTGGCCCGCCCTCGCTTCGCTTCGGTGTAGAGCTGTAGTGTAAACTATAGTTTTTGTTCTCAGGCTTGTGCAATAAACAATGACTTTATTTATATAATTACACGTGTTATTGTGAGTCAACCATAAAAGATAGACATATGCTATTGCGGGATATTTTTTAGACAATTTTATGTAGAATATTTCCGTCATACATGATTTCTATTTAACTTTAACCATTAAGGCTGCACACGCGACGGAAGCTTAAAAAATGAAGTAACTTCTCCCGTTTTCCCAACATTTCCCTTCACTACTCTGCTCCTATTGATTGTAGCGTGATGAAAAGTATACTATAACCTGCCCAGGAGTATGAAGAATAATTGTACCAAGTTTCGTTAAAATCCGTCGAGTAGTTTTTGTTTCTATAAGGAACATACACACAGACAGACAGACAGACAAAAAATTTACTGATTGCATTTTTGGCATCAGTATCGATCACTAATCACCCCCTGATAGTTATTTTAACAATATATTTCATGTACAGAATTGACATCTCTACAGATTTATTATAAGTATAGAAGATTGTAATTATTAATTATTTGCATGCAATTAAAAAATATTTTTAATGATGCTAAAGAAGTATAACTTCTCACGCGCGTACATAAGTTACACGCATCCATTTTTTTTACTTAACTGGCTTTTATAACATAGAGACGTTCGCTTAAAAAAGTTTTGTTAAATCGGATACCATGAGAAAATCATCGAACAAATGATGTGCTCATAAGTCAATAAAGGTTGTAAAACTCTTTCACACTGGAAATAAATAAAAAATCTGCAACCTTTTAAGTGAAATTCGAGATGCGGAGCAATTTTTTTTTAAGTAACACAGATGTTTTTCAATCACTATAGTTCGTAGGTAATATTTCGCGATCACAACTTTTATCTATCTGTGTGAACTGCCTGAAGGATTTTAGCAAGCCCTCCGGAATGTCGACAAGTGTCGGGTTGCAGGAGGCGCCGACAAAGCCCGCCGGCGGCACCTTTGAAGTG